ATGCAGTATGTATTATTAATATATTATATAAATAATATATATTACATACATTTTTGAGGCAAAATACCCAAGAAGGAATTTGTAAAAAAATGACTAGTGATTGTGTTCATTTATTTAAATTGCACGGCGAGTATCAATAAATTTCCGTTATTGAAAAGTGAAAATGACGTTTTCCACACCAATAATTTTACTTTTTTATGTTTGGGACCACCTCTAGAATGGAAGATCTTCTAAATGATTGTTTCCTAAAAACGAAGAAAATACACTTTTTAATTGCGTGTAAAAATTATATGGAATTATTGTGGATTGATTTTTCAGCAAACTTTTGATTGGGGTGTAATCCTATAGACAATGAATGAAGAAACTCCATTTGAATTTTCACTTAAACAAAACTAAATGGACGTGTTTTCTTTTTAGATGTAAAAACCATGTAAATTTATTTCGGTTTGACTTGGAATGTGATTATATGGATAATCCAACGAAGAACTGCATCTGAGTTTCATGCAACGAATCCCAATAATGAAAAGGATCAACGAGTTCGAATAGCCGTCCCCAATCACTGCCATTAGCTTTCACCTCCTGAAATGTCTGCAAGTCTGCAGAGAACAAGTGGCTAGTCAATTCAAGCAAAAGGATTGTTAATCTAAATTATTTTATCAAAGAGCGCGAACGGATTAACGAGAGTGAACGCGCGCAAATTTTCGCCTCAATCAACCGTCAAATAAATCAGCGAGTTCTTTTGCGATTTTTGTTTATCGCATTGTGTTGACTGTTATTGTTGTTAATCGATAAGTGGCAATATTCTAAAATGTGCGATTTGATACGATAAAGTGATTGTTTGTGTGCGAACTTTATACATCCGAACGCCGTTGTAGATTATTTTCGGATATAATTTCATTAGTTTATGTAAGATAATTTTTGCATATATTTGTTAAATAATTGCTGAAATTATATTATGAATAGAAACTTAATACTGAGCAAACCAAATTCTGGCGATTTCAGTTTTACCCGAAATTTCAAAAACGCTTGGAAATATTTGTCATTAATTTACTTTCAGATAAAGAAAAACTATACCAAGGGTATTTTATTCCATATGTGCTTACTTAAAGACATTTATTCATAGGTATACCAAAAAGTAATTTTGCAAGATTAGTACCTAGTGAATATGCTTTACTGAAGTTTTGCCATTTAAACAGGGTTAAATGATCTCTGCATAAGTCGCAAGTTTATAACAAAAATGTGGGTTATCTTTTGGCTCACTAAGAAAGCTTCAATCCCTACATTCAAATTTACTCAACTTTTGAAATGTCTAAATCTCGAAACCTAAAAATGTTACTTTCAAAATTCATATTTTTTTAGGTGAATCCATTAATATTATTTATTTACGTATGTTTCCTGAAATAAACAAAATATTTTTTAACGAAAATAGGTATATCGTGATCTAAAAACTACTTTCAAAATATATTTATTCTATTCGCAGATTTGGCAAAATAAATATAATGTTCCCCACAGATTCGCAACATACTAAATTAATTAATGATTCAAACAATAGGAAAAATAAGAAGCAAGTAGTGACTATAATTGATTGCACAGGAAATTCATACTGAGTACTCGCTTTGTTACGCGAAATTATTCACACCATTAAGTACATTATTTTTTCTTCTCCCCTACTTCATTGATTCGATGTGGTTTTGAAACCGCATTAAACATTAAACATTAAAACCATCTTCTCAGCGTGCAAATGGGTTAATTAGATGTGTTGACTGTGGTATTGTTGTTGTTATCGCCAGCTTTATATATTGAAATTATATTTGTCAATCGAAAATTGCAATTTCAAATCGTCAATTGCCGGCTTAATTCATAAACAGTGGCGGTTTCTAATTAACGGAAATATTGAAATACATTATCATTTATGAAAATGTTAATGATACGGACGTGTAACATAATGTTGGAGAACGTGTCAATCAGCAATTGATTTTAAGTTCAATACGAAATTATAAGTGTTTGTCTTAGTTTTATTAATTAACTCACTTTATTAATTAAAACCTTTCTTCGCTAAGGAAATAGAGAGAAAATCCCGCAATGGTCAAGTTCTATTAACTAAACCAATCTAATTTACATTTATTTCTTTTTAAAATTCAGTCGGTAAAAATTGTAAAGATCGTTCTTTCTAAAAAGCATAAAAGTTATCAGTTTGAAAACGTTCACCTGGTTTTAGTAAAATTGGAAAGCAAACGTGCCTATATTTAGACGACCAAAACAACAGCTCAAAAAAAATTAAAATTCTAATTGAAATCATTGGTTACATATGAGAAATTTATTTCAGCCTCCTAAAACGAGACTAAATTTCATACGTCTCCAATAATCCTGTTAGCATGATGGAGACATCAGTGGACCCACCCGTGGATCAGCAGAGGTCGACAAATATTCCTCCGCCTCCTTCCGAGACAGATCACAAAGATCTTCCACCAATGGACAAATCTGTACGAGATCCTCAAATTGCATCTAAAGGAAATGAACACTCCATGACACTGTCCACTAAAATGTCGACAGATCAGTTAATTTGCAAAAGTCCACAACATTCAGCTAATGGATCAGTTGCTTCTTTAAAGAAAAGAAAAATGTTAACGCCAAATAGGATCCTCATGAGCTTAGGAATTTTGCAGTTTGTATTTGGATTTTTAATGGTGCTGTTTGGAGTTTATGTAATCGCATACAGGGCCAGCCTAAGCTATGTGAGTATGTTGTCCACTACTAATATTACAAATTAAATTCCTTTTACGCTCAATATGTTGCAAATGTTAAATGTTTTATGATTTGATTTTTTTAAATTTCTCGTATGTCCGTGATTTAATGCAGTTTGCTTTCTGAGTGATATATATCCGCGAAGTATCGCTTCTGCACACAAGTACTTTTTACGTGGTTTAAAAACACGTTATTCTAAAATATGACTCTATGAAGTAAGAAACATTAATTGGGAGGAATACTATTTTCAAATTCGTGATAGGTCAACCTAAACAGGAAAAACCTGAGGTGCAAATTTGCCATTGACTTTCTGATTAGATGGGCAGCTTTAAAAAATAAGAGAACGGAATCATCTTTGCTTCAATTCTGTATGAGGAATCAGGAGTTTTCCAGTGGTTCAACTTTACTGCCTAGTTTTGCTTCATATGCCGCATAAAATTAACATTTTATTGCTCATTAGACGTGATACATATTATATTGTCTGGTTGTCTGCAATTAAATAGCAGAATTGGATCAGCTTTCAAGCTTTTTCAAGTTACTTAACAGATCCTATTTGCAAATAATTTCGAACTTAATTAACCAGTAACTTAATAACCTCTTGCAAAAATATGGCATATCCGAGCTAATTTAACGAAGATAATATTATTAGTATCTGCAATAAATTGTCGTTTAGGGTCATTTAAATTCGTTGCAACCACAATCGATTTCAGGGTTGGTTCAAGCGGTAAATGTTGCGTTACAGAAGATAATCTTCTAAATGACGGAATATTTCTTCACAGCTCAACAAAAAGCAACATTACAAAACGAAAATTGAAACCATCGTAAAACTGATATTCGACTGCAAGTTTTTTGCCTGAAATAATTGAGGACATACTAGTATTTCAAGGTAGCATTAGCAAGCAAACAAGCCCAACTTGTATATTATCGTAAAAAATACACCCAAGAAGGAGGTTTGGTGCTATTTAATTATTTACATCCAGTTGATTAATCGCTAAATATATCTGAGCAGAGTTAGTAACTAATATTCAAATTCATCAGGTACTGCAACTGTCTTAAATTATATCTAATTGCTTGAAAGCTTTAAGCCCTTTAGGGTAAACAAAATAAACTATTTAAATGCGTTAATTATGTCGTTTGCTTCCTAATGTATTGAAAGGTCAAAATGTATCATCAAATACCTCGATTATTGATCATCTGTAAGTCTATTGCATTGTCAACTATGTATGTAGTTATTCACTTACACGTTAAAGTACAAAAATGAGGCAGGTAGAATGATAATTTTTTTAAATCATTAAATGTAATAAATTGTGTTTATTTGCTTTTAAATTTTTATTTTATCGTCATGGAATTTGTAGCAAGGAACAGGAGCAAGCTTTTGCATATTACATTTGCTCTTTCATTAACATGGTATGTGTTTGTACCCCGTCACTGGAAAAATTAAAACTAATAATTTTTATTACATATAAAGCTCCATGGGGGAAAAAAAATGAGTATAATGGGCCATTTCTGAAGCCGTACAGGTTCAAGTAGAATGACGCAAGAACTTAAAATACTGTTTGAGCTCTAATTCAGAGCTAGACGACGGTCTCACTATAATCATTATTAATTATGTCTTATTTCTTAAATAACCCTTAGCTCGACCCCGTGATAAGAGGAGATGTCGACAGGACAAACGTATTAATTATTTACGGCTATTTGGAAATTACTCGGATGGTGTTTATGTTCTTGAGAGTTTCTAAAGAGCCCTTTCATGGGTGAGAAAGCAAATGAATGATAAATAAAGTATTTGAGAGTATTTATTGCTGCTAGAATGATCGTGCATAATTATTGGGAATGCAAATACAATGTTAAGCTTGTTTAAATGGAAAGGCACTTAAGGGTGTTTTACGGATATTAACATGATCCGAAATGACTGACACAGGGAGAAGGGGTTCAGATAAGAAAAACACCTATAAAATTGCATCCAACAAGATCCAGCCTTTTAATATTAAATAATCAATTGTGTTTTGTCAAGCAAGCTTTACATCATGTAGTTCATTTGTTGCTTTAGTTTTTAAATTAAATTCATATTGATTTTAAACTTGCCTGATCGCCGCCGATACCTAAACTACTCATGTAGGTACTTATTAATTACATTGAGAGATTGTTTTTTTTTTACTTGTGCTTAGACGCACGTTTGGCTTGAAATCCCGGCAACATTTTCATAGAAAATTGCATTATTGACCTTTTAGTCAAATGCTATAGTTTAAAGACATTCTAAGAAATTATCCAGACAGAAAAAGTATGAATTACCTTGGTAAAAGTCATGTCGACTGCCTTGGTAAAAATTAAAAGCGTACTTGTCGTTTGAATTTCAATCCTTGGCTGTAGGAAGCAAACTTAAATAAAAGTACATATAAATAATAACGTTCTTTGCAAAACAGGCGCAGCAGGTCAATACACAGGCGTAGAGCTAAAAAAAATCAGCATCACTTTACTAGAATAATTAATAGGCAATATATGTAATTATTCAAGTATCACCTATCATTCGCATACAATAAGCATTAGCATTTTAAAGGTTGTCAGACAATACTTGCCGACTATTGAGAGATAAAAATACTAGGGAATGTTGACATTTTGTATTTTAATTGTCCATCTGAATGTGAATGGGACGTTTTCTTCTTGAGATCCTTCATTTCAGTGCTTAGAGGTTGAAATAATGATTAAGGAAACTAGTTCTTAACAGAACTGTTCCGTTGCTAACCTTCTCCGGGGATGGATGGATGGTGGATAGAAAATATATTATTTAACTTTATATTTTATCGAAAATTTTCAGCAGCTATCCAAATAAGCGGCTTCTCAGCAATCACTATAAGTCTTCAAAAAAATTATACTTGATAATGATAATAAAAAAATATATAGTTGTAGGTTTAGTGCTTCTTAATTCTAATTTTTTTGATTTTGAAGATTTCTTGATCTCTTCAAAATTACAGGTAATTTGCTTTGATAGCCTGACAGTTTTCTGTATTTTAAATTTACCGTAACAAATGTGTAGTGTTTGAAACTAGATTAAATTATTGTAATTCAGTTTTTATACGCTTTAGAAGTTTTAAAATTTGCTAAAATTCACTTTTCCCAAGTAGAATGTTTGAATGAATTTTTAGAATAAATTTTAACATTTATATTATATTTTGCAGTTGGGCGCTGGGGTATGGGGCGGAATCCTGTCGATGATTACTGGAATATCAGGAACTTTGGCAGCAGCAAAGCATTTCTGCCCTTTCAACAATACGGCTCAGAAGTTTGCACATACGACGTTTCTAGCTCTGAGCTTAATAAGCATCGCTGTGAGTCAGCTTGTGGTCGTCATTGCCAGCACTGGACTAGCCAGAGATGTAAATAGTGTGGAATTTCAAGAGGCCATGGGAAAAGTTGAGGTATGCCAACATAGTTCTGCGCTTTCCGGTAGAGTTGAAGGAGTTGATCATCAGAACTGCTAATGACTAAAGCATCGAATTTCATCCATTCGAGAACACTAAATAGTCCTTATGGTTTATATGCCATGATCCATAATGAACATAATGACCATGACAGAATTATAAACATGTTTCATTCTCTTTAAAAATACCAAAATTGGCTTATATTTTCGAGTGATGAAACTGTATATTAAAACGTTTTTTATAGCAGTTCCTAAATAATATTTGACATAGTTGTATTTAATTTCCCGTAATTTAAAAAAAAAATTAATCACGCCCTAAATTAAAGTGAAGTTCCTAAAACCTACAGTAGACTCACTTGAATATTTGTTGTTAATTATTTTTGTATATTGGAGGGATGTTTCCAAATAACCATGTTTTATGTAAACTAACTAAATTCTTAATCATACATCAAAAGCCAAAGTAAATGAACCATTTCCTTATTAGCGTATAAAGAATATAAAGCCAATATATCAATTAGAACCGCTTTCTCTTCATACGGTCACTATCGAGATCTACGAAATATAATTTACGCCTTACTATAAGAAACGTAATTTGTTACATGGAAAGCGAAAGTGGAAATATTTAAGCGCATATTGCACAAAGAAAGAGATAAAACTGAATTATAAGCAACAAAAACCGCTTTCTAAGATTCGACAGTTTTAAACATTAAACAGGTCTTGAAGAATGCACCAGTTTACCTCGAAAAATTAATACCAGATAAAAGTAGATTAATTAATTCTAAGCCATTGAAAGCAAGATTTTTAATTAAAAAAATTGTAATTTTCAAGTTCAAGTTGACGTTATTTCTGCCTCGATTTTGTTTAATTGATTTGGAACCAGTTATCTAAAATTAAATTTACATAAAACTGAAATGTAAATGGAAAGTTTTTTATACCTTATCGGCGTTGTGTAAATATCGAAGATTTTAATCCTGGACCCAAAAACGGTATGGCTGTTTCTCAATGAAAGTGAAAGTGATTAGCGAAAACCTCAAATAAAGACGATCGATTATGTAGAAATATTATACATAATTACCAGCGGGTACTTTGGGAGCTTTGGTAATCTTTATTATTCTTTGATTTTCAACTTGAATTCTCCTAATTGCAAATTACTTGCCGTGAGACGTAACCGTAAGCGAACTAAGAGCCTTTGAGTTTTACCATTTATATACGCAAAATATTCAAATCAATAAAACAAAATCAACAATATCTACTCGTATCAAGACCCGTTCGCCTTATCCTGATGCAATTAAATTTACTGCCAATTCAATCCTATGAGAAAACAAACCTTGTCTTGAGTATCGCACAGTATAATGGCTAAGTACCCACACCGAAATATACATTAACCATTAGACGGTGGGTACCGCAAGTCTTTTACTTTCAGATGAGATGATTATGAAATATTTGCGGTATGTCAAGGACTACAAGTACACGTGAGTGCTTTATTGAAGTTGCTATTTTTGCATAAAATAGCTATGGAAAGTTGTAGACTTTTTATATTAGACACATTGGGGGCTTTTAGATTTCCAATTCGTTCATTATTTTAAGTCAAAATTTAAAACATTCTAAATACTATAGATCATATTATCAGGAGCGCATACAATTATCAGTTTAATTAATTATAATTAAATTAGCACGAATAATTAGAGAGTTAACTGAAAATGATGTGTTTAGCACCCAATCAAAAAATGTTTTATTCAAAAAATGTCGAAAGAAAATAAATTCTATTCTGAGCTATATAATAATAGCTATTCTGAGTTGAGTTAAAGGGGTAATAATATAATAAAATTATCATATATAATAAAATTAAGTATATTTGTAAATACTCCTATTCTGAGACAAAATAGTGCCTAAACCTTTCAACTTTAAATACCTTAGAGCATAAGAAGTTTGTTTGGCCCTTGTCGTATTTAAGGAATACTTTGGAAGAAAAATTATTTAAAAAATATCACAAGTTGATTTGATGAATTACATTTATTAAATAAATTATTAGCAGGTCGAAATATTCCAATAATGGATCATAAAATAAATTATTCACAGATCAATTATTCATATTGGGACTACATAGTCTTTAATATTTCCTGTGAGCGTAAGATCAAAATCAAGTCGTTTTGGGAACACGTTTCGGAATAAGTTTACATCTTCAACTACTTTCTTATTTTGATTGTTTAAAAGTTTAGTTCGAAATATCATGAATTTGCTTTTATTGATCAGACAGTATTGGAAAGTCGCTTTATATTGATGTCTCCTTTTTAAGGATGCTTAAATTTAGTTTATTAGCTTTGTCCTTTCACGTTCACTATTTATCGAATTCCTACGCATTTTCATTATTAGTGCAATTTTTGTTAAATGTCAATCCTGAAAAGGATAATTCAAGAGCTGAGTTTTGTCTAAAAAAAATTGTGTTTTATTGAAATCTATTGAGATTTCAGTTATTTATATAATTTAATGAAACTAAAAGAACATACTCTTTACAATTCAATTATTGATCTTAGCAAGTATTTTTGCTTTTTGTGTTCATTTTCAACAATTTGCCAGCTGTAATGTTCTGAGATACAGATCTGTATGATTCTCAAATGGTTTTATTGATATTATATTTAATTTTTTTTATTAAATCTGCAATCACTCTTAAGAACATATACAACAGGTACTTGTTTCAACAGTAGAAAATATCGCGCTCAATGCTCATTACTTATCTTGTAGCACTTCTTACAAGAAATAGTAAATGGTTACTTTCTCCTGTTGGGTGATTGGTGATGTGATGGTTTCTTTACGAAGAGTCTAGGCTTTATTATAAGACTCATTCAGTGAACTAACTAATTTAAGTAGGTGTTCAAATTACTTGAGAAGCAAAATTGGACTTTTTCTATCGTAATATTATTTCATTTAATCATCAGAACTTTTTACATTATTAGTTTAAATTCGATTATTGCGATATGTAGTTCCTTTTCTAAAATGCCTGAAAAGTTGTGTAATGTGGTCACATAATTGTAACTAAGAATACATTTGTGTCTGTATAAAATAACGAAGACCGACAAAGAAAGATAATATTTAGCAGATACAAAACGATAATATCTGTCATTTAATTTTATTTATAAACTAAGTTTAAGAAAATGTATGATATATTTTAAACAATTTGGATATTCCATGTATAGAAAGGCAGATATACCAATGCGCAACACCGAATATTAGATTAACACAAAAACCCAAGCACTCTGAAAATAGGAATTTGGTTAATATAATAACTCAATTAATCTAGTGCAAAATGCATTTAAATAAGCCAGTAAAAAACTTGTTAATGAAACGAATTACCCTAGAATTGAACATGAAATTAGCTGCTCGTACACGCTAACGGCACGCTCTATTATCAACTGCACGTGAGAATTGAATAACAATTATTAAATGCAAATATGTTAATAGTTTGTGATGCCTATTGGTATACAAGCTTTAAACGTTTTAATGTATAGTTTCTTTCAAACATCTAGTATTTCATTACTATGGTGCTTGATGTACTTAAAAACTGATACTGATTTACAAACTCTTAATGTTAATGCTGGCAATTATTTTTCCTTGTATTGTTCTAATCATAAAGGAAACTCTCCCATACAGCTACACAAATGTTACTGAAATTACTTACTTAAATAAGTTATTAATGTTGAATTATGGATCAAATCCCTAGTCAGTTCAAATAAGAAGACTTTTTCAGTTCCATAAGATGAGCATGTTTCAAAAAGTCACTGGGGAAATTTCCCAAAACTATCGAGGAATTCTTTTCAACGTGGCATTGATAATCGTTTCAAGTGTTGAATGCATAGTAGCGGCGATTGCATCATATCGGAGTTCGAGGGAATTATGCCCTTGCTTCAGGAAAAATGAAGATTATTATCAGGTAGGCAGTGAAAAATATTTTTACGGATGAGTTGGTTTCTAAACTGTCTGGCTTATATTATAACGTAGTTTTTTTCTCGCCTTTTTCATCTATAGGATAACTTAAATATGCATCGAAGCCAGGCTCTGGTAAGCTCCTGGCTAATGGAAAAGCATGGAGCTTCTCATGCTCCTCAAATCTATGTTGTCACTGGGCCTCCATCTAGTTTGGGAAGAGGCAGCAATGTAAGTAAAAAGCATGCCTACAGCACATGATTTACGAGTATTGTAACAGAAGTTGTTATGCAAATGTTTATGATGAATCACAAAATATCAGGATTAAGGTGGCATTTTCTTGAAAGATGTGTCGTGGACGATATGGGTAATATAAATTCAGCATACTTTCCTTGGTAATTCTTATAAATACGACGCTTCCATTTCATAAAGAAAGTGTGCCGAACGAAAAGAGTATGCATGTCCAATTTATATAAGTTTATAATTGAATTCAAACGCAAACTAAATAAATTTTCAATAAATTGCGGAAAGAAAAAGTTGTAGAGTGATTGCTTGGAGTCACGAATATTTTTAAGTGGCCTGCTAAATATCTGCAATTACCGGAAGCTATTACTTTTTCTTTGGTTCTTTCTTCAGTTCCATCCATAGCCGATGATAAAGCATGGTACCCAATTAATTTCAATTATTGCAGCTGTTACCGACCATTTCACTACTTCGAACTAAACGATAAATGAAATAGAACGGGTACCTAATCTTTCGCAATTGGGATATTCTAATTTGCTTTAACGATTGCACCAAAGCTATTAATCCATAAACTATTTGATAGTAATTACGATTCTATTTGGTTGAAGATTTGGAAAGTAATTGCACTACGAATAATTGTATATTGGTCTAATTGAACAATATTTGGTTTTGTGTTTGGAAACCGTTAAAAAACAAGTTTTATGTAACTGTTATAATTTGCATGAATAATACTGTATTGAATTACGAGTGATTAGATAAAGTAATTGAATCCACTGAAAATAGTTGAAATGGGGGACTTTGTCATATCATTAATTGATTGTTTCATCAAGTAAATTATTATATTTTTGGTTCTCACTGCAAGTCTTAAAATTTAAAAATCAACTAGTTGACCTCAAAAGTTGGCAACTTTTGCTTAACGTAACCGGCCGTGTGCCTCTTTTAGTTCGAGTTTACAATGTATCTAATGTATAATTCCTTGCTTTAGCGAAGGCTAAGATTGGCTATGCATATAAAATGGTTCATTTTTATTATTATGCTTTTGAAAACATTAGATTTTAGAATGCAATTTGAAGAACGACATGGAATACTAAATTTGCGTTTATAAAAGATACTTTTCAACTTACTTTTCGCTTAAACTAAGCGTAAATTGCAGTATTGTGATAGTACATTATTGATACTTGTTGAATATCAATACACTTTTATCAATATTGGCACAACTATTGAACACGTAAATGAATACCAGAAAATCCTATTTGGTACGGGTAGAGAAAGCTCCGTCGTATTCCTATTCTTTATTTATTCTCAGAATACATATGTTCCATATAGTAGTTAAATACTTATAAGGAGAAACGTACTACAATTAGCGATCTGACCGACCAGTAATTTCCGCAGAAACGTATATACAATTATCGAAGAGGCGAAATAATTTTAGCCCCATAGAGTTACTTTAAATGCTTGAAACTTTGATAATAATTTGATCCGAGTAATGCTCATTATTTATTGTGTAACTGACAAAATGTAAACTCTGGATCCCAAATCGACCCGTTTCATCCAAACAGTGCACACATTGGGAAAATAATTAACCCTAAAAAATCGCATTTACGTATTCTAGTAGCGCAAACAATAAACATTATCCATCTGAAACGAAAGCTGCTATCTATGACCTGAGTAACAAATTTCGGGGAATGTTCGTTTGCTTATAGAGCAAAAGCTAGTTTTTTGCGCTCCTTACAACATTCATTTTACATTGTCAAGGTTCGTTTAGAAATGCGTTTTCAACCGAGAAAGCCAATCTTTCAAAATGCAAAAAACTATAATATTGATTTTGCTTTGTGAAGCGAATTTACTGCTCGTTTAGTTGTTAACTTGATCTTGCAGTCAATCAATAATAACCGCATCTAACTGTTTTGGGTTCTCATAAAAAAAACACCAATTTCAATCATAGATAAAATTTGCTGCGTGAATCTAATAAAAAAGGATAGGTCGAAATAAAGTGAATGTGATAGACTGTGAAAAGGGGATCTCTATAAGTGCGATCATTAATCGATTTAATTACAAATAAGCGTTATAGCTTCAAAATTAGAAATTTTAGGTACAATACTTCTGTCGTGTAAAAGTTCCTATCGGAAAACTTTTTCTTTTCGGCAAAATTCTGATTCATTCATCAAAATATGTTGGCATATTATCACTCGCACCACATTGTGTCTGGTCAATTGACCCTTCTTGCGAATACCTGTTTGTATTCGATAAAGTTTCACCGAACTCATAAGCATGCTCAAGGCGTAAGTAAAAGTTAATAAATATTTAACAAAGTCAACAACCGAAAAGAGGTTCGACCAGTCAAAAAGCAAAACCAATGGCACACATATAGCTTTACCTTTCAGTTTTAAATTAAACATTCAAGTACAACAGTCGAATGATTCACCATTCTTCCATAGAAATTAACAGTAGATTAGATGCACACAACTACCATATGGTGTACTTTACTATAATTAATTAACGATGGTCATTTAGAAGATGTTTTTGCAATATATTTAAGTCGTTTCACTTCGACGATTTTTTCTTAGCAAAAAATTTCAACGATTTCAATATCGGTCTTTCTAGATTATTTATTTTTAATAACCCTAATTAGAATTATCAATGTCTTTAGTTGGAAGATAAAGAAAACACTTATGTATCGTCCATCGGTTTAAGTGCAGATATTTCATGACACGTGATGTGATCGCTTTTGATATGGACTACTTTGGGTATTTATTTGGCTGAGACTGAGAGTGATGAGCTTAATGAAGCTTTTGCTTGAAGTGTTAAGAGAATTAAGCTAAATACCATTGAGTAAAGTTGACATCCATATTTGTTTTCAGCCGTAATTTTTTTTCATGAGACAATTTGTCTGCATTTTGATTATTTTGTAACGGACCCCATAATCTTGCTCCTAACTGTTTAAATGCAATAATGTCCACTATTGATTTACTTTCTCATGGCATTTCCAGATAATTACAGACCGAAACCTATTAACTATTTCATCACTTACGATAGTCTTCTTCAGATATATCAGAATAATCCAGTAATTATTGCAATTGTTTAACTAAACTAAAATAAAGTTTAGAAAGTTAGTAGCATAATAAGAAGGGAGTATTTCAAACGATTTTTTAGCTTAAAATGAGTTTTACAAATTCAACATTCCAGATCCGCTGCAAAGCCTGTAGAGTTTCTATGCCTAAAATATATGTATGTATATGCATTTCATTAATAATACAAATCAATTTAAAACCATTTTTTCAACAGTCTGTTTTAAAAAAATAGTTTGATCGTTTGATTTGAGTTTTTGCAAAATCAAAGTTTCCAACTTCCTTTTATCAAACCACATTTCATGTAGATGTTCCTAGAAGTAAATTTGGCACAAAGCAAGCAATAATATTCCACGCTCTATTAAAACATTCATTATCACACACCTTATAATTTTCGAATCAATAAACATGTTAAAATATTCCAATAAAACAAATGTCTAACTGCTTAAATAATACACTTGTGGCTACAAAAATAATTTATAATTTTCACGATCTAGTAAATTTCATTCGAATGCAACATTCCCATTCGATATTATCGATTGATTAATGCATAACGATTGCGTTACAGAGTGGTTGTAGGTTATTGGCATAGAAAAGCTAAAAACACTGCCAAATAGGGTTGAAATTTATTAATCGGATTTGGTAACACCGATGAGCTTTGTTGGGAAATTAGGTGAATGAATGCCTGCAAGAATAATTTGTATTTGTTAAGCGATGACATAATGGCTGCTTGAATAAAACATCAAAAGCTTAGCTTGTGATGAAATCTACTCAAATAATTTACCAGATTTGGTACTTAGCCCAGAAACCACTAGAACGTGGCTGAAAATATATTGCTCAATAAAATACTTTTACATTCATTCATTTTGAGCAGAAATATTTTTCAATAACTAGATATATTCTGGAAGTTCCTTTGCATCAAGTGCGTCCCGTTAAGGTGCAGTTTGTTCTCTTTCATCATTCATAAAATATTCATTAAAGCAAATCAACCGAACCCATAAACAAATGAGTCCGTACATGTGATTCCGAAAGTGACCGTATACTTACAGGTGTAGAAATACCGGGTATCAAGACAAGACAATAAATTTTGTCACGTTGGAGAACATGTATGGGCACGTATTTTTTATAAAAACATTCCTTTTGCATTATTTCACTTTCACTACCTTCTAAGATTGGAATATGCATGTAAGTCCTTCCCGTTGATTGAACGTGAATCGGCAATATTTGCTTACATGGAATAAGAACAGACAACTATTACTCAATTGATTAGTACCCAAAAACAAAACGCTACGTTAATTAGCCGTGCTGTTTTATGAGATTTGATTGCACAAGTCTGCTATTTTATATTTCCAATTACCTGCCACTATTTAATTAAAATCCTATTTTTTGGAATTGTTTTGAACACTTTCAGGCGTTCGTCTTCCTTCTTAAAACGTAGGTAAGAAATACAAAATGGTGTTAAAAATTAAACTTTTTTACTCAAATTTATGAATTAGGTATTTGTTAAACTTCAGCACGCCGGTGAGAAAATGGCCACAATTTAAATTTGCAGCAACTCCTATCTTTTTGATGCAAATTGTACATAAAACTCTGTGAACTGAATAAGATTGACAGGGTATGCAGAAGGAGATGAGAAAAACTATCAACAGCTATATCAAGAATAATTTCTGAATAAACATGAACAAAAATATACTGAATGTTAGCTGACTTTGTATCTTATTTTGAAACACTTCTTGATCTATCTGCTTTGTGCTTTGTTATTAAATATTTTCTTAATGAAACAGACCAGTTAGACCAGAACTCTTTCTCATTGTTAACAAAACTATCTGAATCATGTCTTGGTGGATTGTAAGAAAACTGTCAGTAAAGTGGGTAAGGAGGATAAATCTCCATTTTTTTCTTTGATGATATTTAAAGTAAAAAAAGTTGCTTAATTCAAAAATAAAATTATCAGCAAATTTGTTCAGGCTCAACTCAAAGATGGATTGAAGGAACTAAAATATTCGCTTGTTTAATAATTAATTAATGGTAGTTACAAAAATTAATTTAGGACCGTTTGTTTGAAATTTATTTTTGCTAGTAATTTTAATATATCCTTATCATTTGAGTGTCTCGCTTTTACGAGAATGTAACTTTCCTGTTTTTTTCATCGTGTTTTATCAAAATATATAAAATGGCAATTTTTGAGTACATTTTAGTGAGTAGAGGCTGAGCATATCAGCAGCTCAATAGATGAAATGTGTATGCAAATATCAGAAAATAAGTTTAAACTAACGAATAAAATTACATCTTTCCTTATTTCTTAGTCCATTTTAACCATTAGTTTTCCATCTAAACACCTACAGTCTCGCAAAATTTCTGCTTCTTGCCAACAAAATATTTACTACAAAGGTAACTTTGTTGTATAATTTGCTATGTATTTGACCTGATTTCTTGACTTATACAATATCACATTTAACCGATTTTTCAATAATAAACTTTTAACATGCTAAGTGGAATTAAGGAATTTAATTGATTTTGAATTCACAAGACGTTGGCTATTTAATGCTCACCAAATATATAAAGTTAAATTTCAACACTATATCAAACATCAATCGTTTTCTTTCCATCCTCATTGCCAATAAGAACTTAAAAAATTTGAAAAACATTTGACAGCTAACAAATAAATAAATTTAGTTAAACGACAATAAAATCACATAATTAAAAGCGATAAATTTTAAATGTGTAACATAATATATTCTCTAATTCTCTTCATAATTATTCTGTTCAGTTGCCTATTCAAGTTAATTTATTATTTCAGTAGTTTTTATTCTATTAGAAAAATTGACATACAATTTGTCAACTAAAGATGGAACTTTTAAGTAATTGCTGTTTTATGGCGTATATAAAAATTTTATTGGAAAGAAAACGCATGATTTATTAATGCTCTTGAATATACTTCAATCACTTCATCAATGATGTATGCTTAATAGTTTAGTGCTAATTAATTAGTGTGTTAATAATGAACAAATTCCTCATAAACTTTTAAGTAACTGCTATTTTATGGCGTATATAAAAGTTCTATTGGAAAGAAAACGCATGATTTATTAATGCTCTTGTTCATTCACTGATGTATGCATACAATTTTAGTGCTACGTAATTAATAATTCGTCAGTCTATTAGGATGTGAACATTATGTAAATGTTCTAAATGTGTGCATTTATTTGATTTTGATAAAATTGGCTTTTAAAGGAAAGCAATAACGAAGAGCATTGTAATTGCTTTTGAGAATGTTAATTACATCGCGCGAAAGCAGAAGAAATTGATAAAAATCCGGAAAAAGGAAAATACGCATTAGAGTCAAAGAATTAGTTCGATACAAATATTTTTTTTATTCTTTGCCTATAATTAGATTAACTTGATCTTTGCCTGAGGTCTAACTTTTCCCTTCTTTGTCAATTCACATGGCACGACGAGTTCTTACATTTATTATCGCCGCACCTTCCGCAGTGGCATTTGGTTTTTAATTTCTTCGATATTGATGCCAAGCCTTGAAGGAATTTTATTAAAATTGTTCTAGACGAGAAAAAAACATTTTTTCTATCTCAAGGCTGTTGCGCCATGCTGAGATTTTATCGAACCTGAATTATTTTGGTTATATGTTTCCGTAACTGATAATACAAATGATCAGTTTTATTGTATGAACTAACTAAGGAATATATGTTGGATTGTAAATTTGCGAAACATTTAGTACCATTAAATTCGGAGCTTAACACATTTTAATGAAGATTTTATTCGCCCGTTAGCTATTTTTTCCAACAAAATGCCACCTATTTACAGACAGTTAAAGCATTTCTGATGCAGAATTTATTTACTTTTAACGAAGTATTTTGGGTTTTATATAATTTTTTTCAATTAATTTTAGATTTCAAATGTAATGCCAATGTCCCTATATGCGCTACCAGCTCCCATGCTACAGCAACAAATGATGGGTTATCCCTTAATTCCTGCACCACTGGGATCAGTGCCTTCCCCAATAATTCCTCCACCTAACCGAAAAGTAAGTAATTTTGTTCGTAATTAAGAGGCTTTAAGGTAAATCAAATGCAATAACAAATGTGGAGGCTCGTTTAGCAGAATTTCGACGAATAATGGTGTGAAAATCTATGCAAATTGTTAGTTTAAAACTTATTTTATGTGGAAATTTTCAGCTAATAAAAATGTCTAAGCATGACAAGCCAAAATCGCGTTCTAAATCGAAGTCGCGAAGCAGAGAACCTACTCCGAAACGATCGTCCAGATCCAAATCCAAGTCCAAAAATCGTGAAACACAAATGACTGATGAAGAAGTTGTAAAGACATATACAGGTTTGATATGCTCAAATTTTAATATTGTTTGAAGTAGTGTATTTGTAATAATTACTTTATTTTGATAATTAGAATACTTTCAACATTCGTGTTCTCCTAATCCAAATTTTCCGAGTAGAAACTTGGGTGAAAAATTGAAAAATACACGCTGAGAAATACCTACACGCTGAGACATACCAATCGAACAATAATTCTTCATTACTGAAGAATATATTTGACTGCTGCATTTTTTAAATTTTTAGTGATTGTTCCAACTTATCTTTGTTTTTCTTTATCTTGAATTTTACTTTCAATGATTACGTACTTTGTTCTTGCTACTTCGATGATTATAACTTTTGATATTAATTGCGTTTTATCGATTTTTACTTAAGTAAAGTAACCGATTTTATTAATTAAAGGATTAGATAGAGCTATGGCTGAAGAATTTATCGATATTTGCGAAATGAAACACGCCAGTTTATGCAGCGATATCAGTTGTATTGATAGCACTTGTCAAAGTCCATGCAGTTCTTCGGCAGAGGGATGTCACACCAACAGCGACGCGAATTCCCAAGACTATTTAGTTAATAAGTAACTCAAACCAAAAAAAAGCTCATGGTTCAAAAAAACAAAATGGAAAACAAATAAAAAAATTATTGAAGCTGCAGTTTTTGATTCGGCTTCAATATCATCCAGTATAGATAGATATATTATATAAAAATGCTCTCTGATTTACCTTAGTTTGTAAGTAATTGTTATGTTTGTATATATGGAAAGCTTTTATAGCAGAGACTGCGTCTAAATAATACATATTACTCATCTATAATCTTAATAAGAGTTTGTGTAAATAACAAAATTTTATATTATGTTAATATATTGTTAATATATCATATTTGATTGCTTTTCACATATTGAGTTTCTAAACTATTAGGGATTTGTCTATAATGAAAATCATTACTATGTAAAGGGATTTGATTCTAAATTACTATTATCACAAATCACTTTAATAATGATGAATCACAAGTGTACTTAAATCTACGTGTGATACTTCTGTATGTGTACCTAATGTGAAATAAAACTCATATAAAATAATTTCAGTGTAATTTTTATGAACAAACAATATATTTGAAGGGAATGAAGAAAGCAATACGTAGAAAATGTAAAGTTTTATTTCTGGTCATTTTACAAAGGATTTGTTCCTAAGTAGGTGATATCTTATTTAAAATTCATTCGATCAAACAGCATAATGAGTTCTGTGAAAGCCCTGGCCTGCAACCGGAAAACATCCGGAAAAATTATCATAAATTTGTTAACGCATTGTTAAATACGGAACAATTAACTCTTTTACTCACCAATACTTTGCAGGATTAAGTCCGCATCTTCTAATGATACCGCTTCAAAAATGTAGCAGAAAAACTGTTTTGCTATATCACAGGTTTGTTCACTATAAAATTAAGATTTTTTTAAATACCAGAAATAATTAACCAGTTCTTACCCAGCGCAATATCCGAAAATTTTAGGCAGTATGGGAATATTTCCGCAGGAGGAAATTTTCATATATGGATGCTCCAGAATAAGCTGCAAAAACTTCTCTGTATATAAAAGTTAAAATATTGAAAATCTAGGAGCGCATGTTAATAAGCTCATTTTAGTAAAAACGCTAATGGAGACAAAAAACATAAAATTACAAACTAACGAAATGAATGTAAAAAAATGAATTATGGACTATTGCAGAAAATTGTAAAGTAATTTTTTTCTTACATCGGCGCTATCCTTGCCGCGAATTTTCAGTCCTATCTCTCCGATTTCCAATAAAGCCAATTTATCAGTTCGTTTTACTAATTGCATATCTTCCTGATTTTTATCCATTATAATCCTTAATGCCTTTTGAACCTGTTTTACATTACCCAAGGTCCCAACATCTACTTTTGCCATGTATTTCACTTGATAACCATAGAAGCTAAAACCGATATTCCATACCTATTTACTGCATTATATTTTACACATACAAAAAAATTAAGAATCTTCTGAAAAATATTCGATATTTTGCGTATTTGTCACTCTGTGGTAAAAATTAACTTGCTTTCAATAAAATAAAATAAAGAACTAATTAACAAAGCCCTTAATTCATCATATAATAATTACATCTTGTTCTTAGTAGTGTCAATATCGTTTCCATTTTCTTCGTATTGCGTTGTGATGCTCTGCAGGTCGATTTTCAGATTTTTAAGTAAAATCTGAATCGGTCCATATATTTGACCTGAGTCTTTACAATATCCTTTGACTATTCGCACTTTTACGGGTTTGGGCTTATTACTTTTCATGATCAAATTGAGTCGCCCTTTTGATGTGTTATTTATTTGGACATCGTTCAATTGATCGAGAACATCTCCAATTTTGATATTTCCCTAAAAGACATATTTGGCAAAACAAAAAATATCCGTAAATAGTAGTCCGTTAATAATTTAAAAGAAAGGAAATGAAAAAGCGCTTACATTTTCAGCTGCAACCCCGTTAGGCTCTACATTCACAATAACTGCTCGGTTTTCATCAAAACTAAAAATTATTTCGCCGACTTATGCATGTTCTCCATTTGCTACTGAATATATCAAATAATTATAGTCGCATATTAAGACAGATTCGTATCGAAATGTTTAAATCTGTTGGAGACCCTTCTAAGACATTGCAAATTCCACCAAGAATAAATTGTTTAATATTTATATTCTTCACTACTTCCAACGAAAAAAGTAAAAACAATAATAGATTTTTACCTTACTGCTAATCCTAAAGTTTTACAAGGCACTAATTCCAAATTGAGTATCTCCGGGAGATACCAGCACAAATCAAGGAAAGAAGCGTTTTCTAAGTTCAAAGGGAATTCAATGCGGGAAACTTGTCGCAACACCGACAAAAAAATCTCACTCAATATTTCATCCCCTAATATCGAGCTGGGCAAGTAGAATAAATGTGCGTACTGGTGTTTTATCTGAAACGAAATAAGATTTATGAGCGATTTGAAGACAGGAAAACGCTAAAGTCGACTTACTAAAGCCTCGACAGGTTCATGTAGGCATTTCTTGAAAATGCAGAATTTAATCAGCAGTCTAAATCTTGCACAGTTGTTTCTCACATCAGTCCTATTATTGACTTGGTCTATGCAATTTTTATACGTGAAGTGGCAATCTTTTGCAATACTAACCATCCATGAATACACATCAATAGTTCTATCGAAAAATTTGGTGTTTTGCTGACGTATCAGCCCTTTATTGAAAATTTTTTCGATTGTTTGTGCAAAAAAAATGAAATAGAAATTGTTGTCAGATATGTTCGTATTTGTTGCTGTGATGTTTAGAAATTGTTGAACGCATCCTAAAACAAAGAAACATTTTAGCCTATGTTTTGCTAGTGCAATAGTCCAAAATTGACTTGGTGATATGACGTGGGTGAATTGGTATGGTGGAAAATAATATATTGATGACAAAAATTATTATATGTATAAAAGAAACAAAAATACTTTTGGGCTGTTTCGATTCTTCTCACATACAATTTTTAACATGCGTACATTTATAAATAGATGGGTGATGATAAATGCGACAAGATTCACACGGCTTGCCGATCAAAAAACATAAAAATCGCAAAGAACAAACTAAAAACATATTGTTTATTACTTCCATTAAAACATTACAAGCGGGAACATTACAAGCGGGGACAAACATCAAAGCGGGAAAACCGCAATTGAGTCTATTGATTAAAATTATTACTGACATAAAGTAAGTTGAGAGCGTATATGAAAACTTGTTTGAAAATCAGATTAGCAAGAATGTTTAAAAAATAGCGTCGATTTATTTTAGTAATTATCTTTATGAAAAATAGCAAATACATTTGGAAATGGCAATATTGCGCCTGTTTGCCTATTTTGCAAAATATTGTGAACTAATTCAAAAGATTTTCACTTTTAAAAAACCAGCAGGATCTCCACCAACCGTAAGACTAAGACGAGAAAAAAACAAAAATACTGATGACGATTGAAAGTTAAAAGGAAGAATTATATAGACGGCGAGTTGAAAAAGAGATTATTTGAAAAGGAAACGTCCGCACTTCTCAAATCTCAAAATCTCAGCTGAGTTTTTTTGTATAAAAAAAACAGTCGGAAAAGAAGATTTGAATGAACATTTAGAATTGCCTAACACTGTAACTGGGGCTCCTGTATGAACATACAGCTGCAGTTTTTTTGATGACCAGTATATTCGAAGATCTTCGAAACTATAGCAGTTACGGAAAAAGTTAAATGGACAAAGAATTGTAGTTTTGAATGCTCTACTCGAAACCAATTGTATTTTTCTAAAATTTAACAGCTGTCAAGAGATATTGGGGAAAAACTTATTTATGGTACATTTTTAAATTACTTCTAGTTCCGTTGATGTTAATTTAACAAGAAAACATTAAATAGAAAAATTGTAGGAAATTTAATTCCAAATAAAATGGCATGAGAAGTTTCTCCAAAATATTCATTTTTGACATATGACACAAATTTGAGTTTTTTTAAATGACAAGCATATCTGATAATTGCTTTACCGAATAGACCATTTTATTACGATTTCTGTGATATATCATACCGTTAGGATTTTTTAGAAAGTAAAGTGGCTGCGAACAACTTATACTTTTTCAATTTAGTTGATCTAAGTTAGCCATGGAAAATAGTGTTTATACAATACATACAGTATTGTTTCCATAGTAACAAATAATAACAGTATGCTTCAGTATTTATTTTGACAGCTAAGTTAAAGATGTCAAAAAATTTAATTTAATTAATACGGCTGCTTATTTAAAGTGTTTATTAAAAAAATTAAATCATACCAATAATAATTAAAATTTAACTCTAGAAACATTAATTTTTATTGTAAAACATTTTGAAAAAGTCCACCATTTATCAATGCAAACATTGCAACGCTTTAAACCTGAATAAGTTGCTTTTCCTGCGAACCGACCATCAATATTTTCAATTCCTGTAACAACAGCTTCTTTAATTGGAATATTTGTTTTTGTTAACTGTATTTTTTACTGTTCTTATGTTTTTTTTATGCATATTATAGCCTCTTTGCCCTTTCTCAAGGCAGTAAGATATTCGAAATAGTGCAAATATTTGATAAACAGAAATTAATAGCGACAATTAGTACCAGACCACAAAACAAACCACATAGATTCGTAAGGAAATAAACATTAAGTCACAAAAATATAATTTTTAAAAGAATACAGCCTACGGTGTACACGGTCTCCCAAAATTAGGTGGCCAAACTGAAACAGTGGAATCTACTCTCAAAAATAGTATTAATTTTTCAAATGAACATGTATCGAAAAATGCTCCATAACGGAGGAACGCCTTCTTGAAGAGGTGCCCAGTAGTAGGGCTTTTTGCAAATTCTTTCTAAGCAGTTGAACTTCAAAACGTAAATTTTAGGAACTGGTAATTTTATTTATGTATTATATTTTAACTCATAGTTTATGTATGTAAAGTAAATATTTTGTGCTCCGACTATGGTTTTGAACTGTTTTTCCTCTGCATCGATTAGCTTGCGGCAGATATTCCTGCGCTGCACACCGCACAAAATACTGCCAAGAACTGTCTGTAACATACATACCTACATATGCTTATGTTAATAACAATTATATTGGCAAGGCTATAAATAAATAAAAACAGTCACAACATATTCTAGTTGGCGTTTTAGTACTAGGTACTTTTACATACTGTGCTTAACGCAGATAAGCTAGAAAATATTATCACTTGCAACAGATAAGCTCTGATGCAAGTGCTTGTGTTTAGGATTAACTTACAAGCGGTGGCAACGCAAGTGATAAATTAACGTGGCAATATGAGACTTTGACTTCATTATAGGCCTGTTGATATGAACTAAGCGCGCAAGTAGCCTGTTATTTTAATTAGCAGCAAACAAATAAGTGCTTCCAAAAGAAACTATACTAAATATTTGTTTAAGGTACCTTTAATATCCTTAATTAACGGATCACTGACTGACATTGTTTATCAGCCTATTATTTATCAATTTCGTTCTAGTGGAGAGATACTCACAAAGTATTATCATGTGACAAGACGTACGCACTCCAATCGCTTTGAGTATTTGTTCGCCGTATGTTAAAATCGAATTTAAATGCTAATTTAACGAGTGTCTTATCGGGTGTGCTTCAAGTGTTCTATTTAGTACACAATTTTCTAGACTTGGACGTGTTTTAAAGTGCTGAAAATGGCTGAACCGACACCCTCGATCGAATCGTTGCTGGCACAAGCAAAAAAAGTCTTCAGGGAGGAATTTGACACTGACGCAGATATAGCAGTGGCGGCTCCAGGAAGGGTGAATTTAATAGGGGAACACACGGATTATAATGATGGATTTGTAATGCCCATGGTAAGTGGACGTACAGCTTAAAAGCTCCCAACATTAAACAAAAAAATCGATTTATAGAACTTGTTTTGAACAGAGATTTGAACTTAAACTGCGTATTTTTACATTGAGAACAAAATAGGGTCGTTGCACAAAAAATTTTTAATTAATTTTAAATTTCAAACATAGCTTGAGGGTCGTTTACAAGAATGCCTAAAGCAAAAAAAGGGAACGAAAGTTACCAGATTTGCTTGTAAAATGACGTCACGCGAGAACGTTGTTTTACTGGCTGTGACGTAGAGTGGCACAAATCCTACTCTAGTTATATGCCCATAACCAACAGAATGTACAAGTGTACATATTGCATAGGAGCAAGTTAAGCGTCTTTAAGGCATTTACATCTAAGTCATAATAAATATAATTTATTATGCCATCTGAGGTTGACGATATCGATACTTTATGGTATTAGCTTTCTTGTAATCTGACCATGTAAGAGCTTGTTTGACTGGATCTTCCGGCTCGTGAATTTCAATTTCTAAACAATCAATTATGGTGTAAACTCTACTATAACGTACATAAAATAAGTTTTTTTTAACTTTATTAGGTGGCATTCAGACCATTAAAGTCTTTAATATCTCGCTAATTAATGGAAGGGATTTTGCAAAAATTCTACTCGTACTTGCGGATAATTCAAAATCATCACCTAGTTCAGTAAAAGTGTTGTCAAGGCGAATTTTTTGAAGAATTAGATACATATTTACAAAACCCAATTTTGTAGTGTCTCAAGTAGCTTAATTATAAATAAAGGTTTATTTATACTCAGGTATAATCTTGCATCTAAAGTGTCTAAAGCGTCATTTATAATGTTAAGTTAAGTTAAGTTTTGGCACGCAAATTTATGTAGAACAACATATTTTTTCATTCTTTTCTGAACTCCCATCATTTTCCACTCCATAAAATTGTCCATGCCTTTTTCAAGCTGTGAATTAAAATAAACAAAAATTGCACATAATGAAGCAAAGATGAAACCTAAATCTAACGAACACACAGAGTTAAGAACCCTATAAATACAGGGTTATTCATGCTATACGGCACGGACGTTCGCGGCTAGCCCGTTTGTTTTTTGCAAAGTATTATTTGTTGAATCCACAGACGCCTATCGGGTGCACATTTTAAAAATATTTTTGTAATGTACAGCGTGTCCCAAAAGCCCTAAAAGTATCAAAGTTCTGTTTTTCTAAATGAGATTCCCTATATATTATTGCAGTTTTGGATTCTCTGAGCAAAATAAGTGTTCGTTTATAAGATTTATAATGTCTAAATCTAAAGTTTTTTTAAATAGCTCGAATTTTATCAAAATCTAATATTATTTTCATGTGTCAAATACTTTAGAATTATTTAAGTTATGTAAACGTAATTCGTAGTGTAGTGTAACAAGAAATCATATTTTATATCCCAATGATAGTAAACTTACCATTTTATACAGGGTGTCCACAAATTTGAACTAATCAAATAAGAACTTTAAGTGACTATAACTTGATTAATTTAAATACAACCCCATATTTTTTAGCTTACCAGGAAATGCAATTTTTAATTACCTATCGAATGGTACAAAATACACCAAATAATGGTTCTCTGCACCATTTGGTGTTTTTCTAAATTAAAAGGTTAAATAACATATCACCAACAACATGAAACAAAGGCAAATTATTTATAACAAATGTTCTAAATGTTGACCGTCCATTTCCAGGCACTTGAAAATTCTTTTTTCAAAACCACTGCTAACTCTGGACAACATTTGCGGAGTTACAGTTTTTAAAGCATCTCTTATGCGTGTTTTTATATCGTGTGAAGTTGTTGGAAGCGTATGGTAGACAATTCCTTTTATGTACCCCGACAAAACTAAATCTGGTGGAGTTAAGTCCGGAGATCTGGGGGGCCAATTTTGAAACACATTTCTGCCAATGCATCTGTTTTGAAACTTCGCAGTGATAATGAAGCAGAGCTCCATCCAATTGAAGCCACATGTTGTTTCTAATATTGAAAGGAACTTCTTCTAATAATATTGAGAGATGGTTTATTAGAAACTGGAGAAACATCAAACCATTTAGATGTCCTTCAACAAAATAGGGTCCAATTAAACATTGGCCCAGTATTTCACCCCACGCATTAACTGATCACCTATTTTGATTTTTCATGACCCTGTATGCGCGGGGATTCGTATCAGAATAATAGTGAAAGTTGTGTCTATTCACGAGGCCATTGTTATGAAAAGTACATTCATCACTAAATAACACATTTTCGAAAAACTTTTCATTTTTTGCCACTTTATCTAACACCCACATACAAAACTCAGTTCGGTTTTCAAAATCATTTCCATAAAGTTCTTGGCAAAGCTGAATTTTATAAGGATCAACGTTGTGCTTTTTGATAATTCTGGAAATACTTGATTGACTAATGTTAGTACTTTTGGATGTTAGATTTTGACTAATCATAATTTTGACTAATCTGAACTATTTTTAGAAAGTATTTCCATAATAACCCAAATGATATCTGAAAAGAAATTTAAAACGTATTGTCAACAAAAGCCCGATTTATCTAATAATTTATTTGACATTGGATCTTGGTTGGTCATGCATAACAAAACATGAACTGGACGAATCATTGATCAATGCAATATAAAAAATAACAGGCTTTGACCCACCAGGAAACTACGTTAGAAAATAATTTTAAAAGTGTACCGCAGTGCTTCTTTAACGAACTTTTGTTTGTAACGAACAATTGTGTTAATACATTTAAAAAATCTGTAGTTAAAACATCTAATCATCATTAATCCCAAATAAATGCTATTCATCCAGTAAAACTTGCTTGAGGCATTCGCCTCTTCCATCAAAGAATCATTATATGCCGTTATTAGTTGCTAAATTAAGTTTTTGGTTAATATCTATATTTTTGGAAAATAGTAATAGGAAGTAAATATATCGCATATGGGTGATTTAAAACAATGTTGATATCCATAGAAAATTAATTCTTTTAGGCCCTCCCTTTAGTGACGATTATTGTAGGACGGAAAATTGATGGAGACATTACCACATTAGTCACCACAAATCCAGATGCAGACAAACCCCGAAAAATCACTATTGAGATGCCCAACAAAAATGCTTTGGTCAGAACAATCGAACATTCTGGGCCGAAATGGTGCCTGTATGTTAAAGGTAATTCGATCGAAACGTTCCAGAAAACAAACGTCTTTGTATATCTCAATATACATTTTAAAATGAGGTTGAACTTGCTGGTTACGTTTTTATACTTGAAAACGGCAATCGATGATATAATTTATGTATAAAGTAATTCCATCATTAACTTCAAACAAACGTATATGTTGTATATAAAATGATAAGTGCATTTCAGATAAGGGTACTTAAACTCGTACTTGACCTTACAACTATGGAAAATATGTATTTGGAAAAACACTTCAGTAATAATTTATAACTTACGTATACTTCAGTAATAATAAACAATCTATGATTTTCAATCCGCGCTTTCCTGTATTCTGCAATTAATCGCAATAAGATACACGAAATTCAATTATTCGATAAATAAGTCGCATTAAAAGTAGGTTTTTTTTTCAGATCTAAATTAGAAATATAGTTATTAAATTATAAATATAGTAAGCAAGTATATTGCTCTTTTTTTACAATCTACTTTAATTTATCTACGCCTTTACCCAGGACCACTAAGACCTTTAAATTATGAACTTTCAAACTAGCATAAAACGACGCCATTTATGTGATTGCTAAATATACAGGGTGTCCAGTAAGCAAATAATCAAAAGGATATTGCGATATTCTTTGCTTCAAAAGAAGACGATATGACCAACTTTTATTAACAAAAAATGTCTGGCTCCTCTGCTATTGATGATCAAAGTTCTTCAAAAAATATATTTTTATTGAAATATCGGGAGAATGGTACGATATATTTAGGTAAAACTCGCTGTGAATTTGTTCTTATGTAAGACTCATATTTTGATGAAACAATCGAGTTCAGCCGTTTTGGACAATGGGTGAATTCTTGAGTGTCGTGATACAAAAACTACCAGAACTTTTTATTTGGTGGACAAAATTAACTCAGTTATTTTGTTGATGCACCAAACGAAGAAGTGACCGACATGGTAAAAGTATTAGGGTTTTGCGAAGACAACTTGCGTATAAGCAAACTTTTTCACATGAGTCTTACATAAGAACAAATAATTCACAGCGAGTTTCACCAAAATACATCGTACCATTCTCCCGATATTTCAAAAAAGATTAATTTTTGAAGAACTTTGACCATCAATAGCAGAGGAGCTAGACAATTTTTGTTAATAAAAGTTATGTCAGATCGTCTTATTTTGATCCATAGGATATCGCTGTACCCTTTTGATCAAATGTGATTTCGGTACACCCTGTATAAAGATGTAAGGGAGTTTATGTAGGTAACCAAATTTGGTTTATTTTCTTAAATAAATAAACCCTTAAGCTTTTAATTCTTCGTATCGCTTAAGTAACCATTAGAAAAAAGCATTTGAACTAAATTGCAATGTTTTCTCATATAATTTGACATACAGATATTTATTTAATGGTGAATATTTGTGAAAAACCTGATATTTATTAATATGTAGTTTTTTATATATTTCAAATAAATTAAATTTGACTAGTGACGTTTATCAAGGTATGGATACAGTTATTTGAAAAAAAGCTTTGTACTTTATAGATTTTCGGAAAATATACAAAATGCATATTGCTTATGCGAAAAATTATGTTTTGGCAGTGGCGACGTATGGTTTAATACTTTTTGTTAGTGCACAATCTTCGATATTCGGGGGAAGCAAAAATGTTTAAATTCTTCTTCTCAAGATAGAGATAAAATCTTGCTTATCTTGAATATTTCAGGCTAATCAGCGCGTTGATGAGCGTATAAAATATCCGTTATTATTGAAACTCGCAATAACAAAATATCCTAATCCAACCAGCAATGCATCATTTACAATAACTTATTGCCTAAACAAACCGAAACCTAGTATTAACTAAAGGCCGTGAACGTACTAAGTGAGCACAATGGTCAACTGAAACCATGGAACTTTTTAGTAGTATAGGTTTCACCAATAAATTTAAGTTTTTTAGTTAATAAATTAGTAAATTGAGGGGTTCGGAGGCAAATATGCGACGTAGTAAACCGTGAACCGGGGAAGATATTTGGCATTGATTATTTTTTATTTATGGTTTTTGCCTTTTTAATGAATTGTTTTTCGAATGAATAGGCACTTAATATTAAAATAAACTTAGGTACTTCAAGAATGATAAGATTTAAATTTGTTTTTCAAATAAGAGATATAAAATTTCTTCTTCTACTTAAAAGTACGAAATTATATTCATAAAAATACTAGTTTGCTTTAGTCTTAATAGAATGTGCAGTAGACTGAGCAATCAACTTGAATTAGGATAAATCTATTAGAAAAATCTCATTTTTTCGCAACAATATTTTAATATACATATACTGATTTACCGTATTAACAATACTGTCAATAATACTCCCTTCTACAAACGTGTGTTTATCCAATTTCGATTTACACTGAATAAACATATATGGGGTGTTTCACTAAATAACGAAAATTGTTCTTATAGCTATAGATCCGAACATGTTTTGTTGCCGATCTACAGTCTTGGAATCTCTAGAAAGTTTGTTTTTTTATTTTCAGTGTACCGATTTGAACATGCGATAAGAATCAATTTAAACCCCCCATTTAGGTTTTCTTAAACGTCGAAGAAAATTTGGAAAATTACACTTAGCTAGCACAGTTCTTTGAGGTAACACTTCCTGATAATTACTTTTTGCGTATACGCATTAGTACACAGCTTATCCGCTCAGCCACTAAATCACTATCCAAAGGCATTTTTAAAGACAAATCGAGGAATTTCTTCAGTGAATTCAAATGGAAATCAAGTTTCAGAAGAGTCCTTTCAACAATAAGTATATAAATTCAAAAAATGCCCTTGCTCATGTCTTAGTGTTTATAGTTTGTATGTCGTTTTCTTTCAAAGACTTGCAGTTACTAGCTTGATTTTTTTACTTTTTGCGTTTGTGTTATTTCTAATGCGCTATGATCTTTGATTTATATATTTGTTGCTTATGTGCTTATGACATGATTTTTCGCTGGTTTATTTAAAAAATTATTTTAGGTGTAATTGCCAATTATCACGGACCTTGTCCACCGGCTTTTCAAGGTGTGATTCACTCAAGTGTTCCAACAGGAGGCGGTCTGTCCAGTAGTGCAGCAATAGAAGTTGCCACGTACACATTTTTAGATGCCTTAACCGGTGGTGCTCCAGAGGAATCGTATGTACCTACTGTTTAATTCCAAACCTTTTGCATTTTAGTTATAAACTTTAACTTCTAGATTAAGTGATAAAGCTTTAGCGTGCCAAAAGGCGGAGCACCAATATGCTGGTATGCCTTGTGGTATTATGGACCAATTCATTTCTGTAATGGGAAAAGACGGACATGCTCTACTAATAGACTGCTGGTAAAAGATGAAACGAATGTCTGTAAAAACTAATTCTTCTACTGAAATATCAACTTCCAGGAGCTTAACATCTGAATTAATTCCTCTCAACGATCCACAGATTGTGGTTTTAATTACCAATTCCAACGTGAAGCATGAGCTTACAGGCAGCGAGTACCCAACCAGGAGAAAACATTGTGAAGAAGCGGCTTTGATTCTTAAAAAAGTCAGTCTAAGGGATGCCAATGAAACTGATATCGCCTGTAAGTTAGTCTTATAGAGCATAAGTCTACTGAAATCGACGTAATAATCGTTTTAGATCTAAAATCAATAGAGACCGATGAAGTTCTTCTGCGAAGGGCCAGGCACGTTATCACGGAAATTCAACGAACCGTTAAAGCTGCTGAGGCTTTAAAAGAGAAAAATTATCAAAAATTCGGATCTCTGATGGTAGACAGTCACAATTCCTTAAGAGACGATTATGCCGTGTCTTGTCCGGAAGTGGACAGTTTAGTAGAATTGGCTTTGCAAGTAGAAGGAGTGCTGGGCAGTAGAATGACCGGAGCAGGATTTGGAGGATGCACTGTAACTCTGGTAACAAAAATTTTCTTTTAAATGATCGCACCTAGATTTTTGTACTAATTAAAATATTCAGTACTTCTTTATGTAAAATCGGGTAGCCATTGTAGCAATGATGAACATAGAGGGGGGAACATATCAAAGAGTTTTCTAAACAATAATTTAAGGTAATTAAGGTCTTCCAATAAACCTTCCCTGTCTCTTATTTAAAAAGGTAATAATTGCAAGAAATAATGTTTTTATTTATAACGAAGTAAGGTTTTGGCCCAAACTGAACGTCGATTAAATTTAATAGCCTTTATAAGACTGCAATATGTGCTGGCAAATATTTGATAATAGGTAGATAGGTACATATTTTTTCATGTTTTTTAAGTTTGATGCTAATAATTAAGCTGAATTAAGTAAAAGCGTCCATTTATGCAAGTTTTTCAATGAGTATTCAAAGTAATCTTGGCAATTCGCTAATTTATATGTTTTGTCCCGGGAAACGCTGAGAAAAATGGCCCTACTAGAACTCGAATTAGATAAGCTTTAATTACCTACTTACTTATTTTCATCAGAACCACAATAATTTCATAGTTTCAGTTCAGTTCGCATAATTTTATTATGCAAACATTTCAAGAGCAAGAAAAGTTTCTAAATAAAAAATAATACAGACTTATTTTTTTGATCGCGATGAAATTTGCTGCCGTTCGAAACATATTTGGGAATTAAAAAATGAGGTTCATGAGCTAGCTATTGCCTTCTTCTTCTTATGTTCTATTGAAAATAAGACGACGGTATATACTAGTAGAATACTCGATATTAAAAAGTCTATTTAAATTGAAATAAAATTACAAACATGTTTATTCGGTCATTTTGCTGTGCCTATTTCCGCAGTGTTAGCCCAAGAAATTTAGTAGAAAAATTTACCCCAAAGCTCTTGTAAACGCCTTCTCTATTCTTCTTCTATTCTGTTCTAAACGCCTTCGAAATAATTGTACATTATTATGAAGGGCCGTGCTTTTCTTGTTCAACTATCAAAATTTTAGCAAATGTCTTCCTGGTATCTATCTAAATATAACTTATTTTTAACTAATCGACAAATCATGTTTTATTATTGCTTGCTTTGCAGGTGTATGCTCATGCTGTTGAAAAAGTGATCGAAAACATCACGAAGAATTATCAAGGAAAACCAACATTCTACATTTGCAAACCAAGTCAGGGGGCCCGAGTAATCCAAACTTCTAACAAATAATTTACAATAAAATGTAAGCGAAAATGCAAGAAATGTATATTAAGGTAGTGGAAAAATGTTGTGTTTTATTATATTTAATCAAGCTATGTATTATTGTGCTTTATAATTGCATTTGTAAAGAATATTTCATATTTTATTGGAATGTTTTTTATTTCCAGCATTATAAATACGCGAGCAAAATGTCCAATACAACTTCTTCATGAATCTGATTCTCATATTTCGGTGCTTATGATCAGTCAACTTGCTATACGTTTCACCAGGGCGAGCATTGGCAAATTGACGAGGAGTAGAAATATAAGTTCTCCAAAGTATTTATTTTTCCAGGCATCAGTTAGTTAAAGGCATTTTTATTTTTTATTCCTACTTCCGATTTCAATTTTAACAATTAAAAGCAGAACTTTAGATCTGCCAAATTAACCCGAGAACAAAAACGATAATGTTCACATATGTGGACGATATGTTTTTCCAATGAACCAATGTAGAATGCCTTTATAGACTGATAAAACGCTAACTGCTTTCATAACGTTTGGTTTTCCAATTGGCGCAACTAGTTTTCAGTCTGAATCAGGCATATATTAGAGAGTTTATAATATGAGAATGTTTTCGAAAGAAAAATTAAAATAAATCACTAGTTTATCAGATTTTTGGTAAAAATTTATGAAAAATACATTTTGAAATTCAGGTAGAGTTTCCGTTTTTAACCGATTCAATACCGCGTATTGCCGCCTCTAGCTCGAATAACGTGCCTCAAACGTCATGAAATGATTAAATGAAATGAAATCATCAATGAACAAGAAATTGTCGCCTATATGAGGTGCAAAAAGGTACATGGTTTTCTCAAATTTCTTGAATGTACTTCTGGGAAGTTAATGATCTTCTTCGGATCACCACAAGATCCGTACGGGCCTCCAGCCCAAACATTATTGAGCCACCACGGAAACCCAGGTGGGAAACCATACAAGCTTGACTGTATCTTTCTCCTGGTCTTCTCCAAATAAAGGCTCGCCCATCCAAAGAGGTTAAACCCACTCTAACTTAGTAGAGTAAACAAGACTTTCTTCTAGTCATCCAAATCTCAATCCTCGTGTTCTCGAGCAAAGTCAAGCCTAGCTTGCTTGCACAAAATATCCCCCCTACATGTACAAGGGGGTATGTTCTGTGCTTGCTTGTGGGCTATGGTTAAGAGAGGACCTTTTGCGGGATGTTTTGTCTTTGTCTTTGTTTTTTTTTGTTTTTGTCTTCGGGCGACCTCACGTTGGGAATACTCTTCTTCCAACAAAGTGACAATTTTGACAGCATCAAACTCACTTAAGCTTCTTCCTGAGCACATTTCTATGCGAATAGAATTTAGTTAACCACACAAGTTAGGAAAAACACACGAAAATTGAATCGAAAATAGTACCACACTTGCTGAAATGTTGCAAATGACTAAACAAGTAGAAACTTGCATTGGAATGAATAGAAAAAAACCAAAACCAATTGATACTGTACAATGTTACTATGGATGTTCTTTACCAGCCTACTTGGGGGAAAAATATTTATTCGAAAATGTGTAGGTGGTGCGCTTTTTGTCCATCAGTGTATATTATTATTATTCTAAATTAAGGATTCCGAAACTCGAACGAAAAAAAGTAGACGTTTTGTCAATATTTTTATGCAAACGTTATAGAATCGTGAAATTACAGTGATTCTTTGATGAGTACAAATATTTGAACTGATGGTTGCATGGAAATGTTTTTATCGAAAAACATCCCCTTGTTAACCCCCGAAGATCAGGAGGAATAAAACTCAGAAACTCAAAACATAGAAAAATGGTCCGCAGCAATACGTACTAGTACTGCGATAGTTTTGGGTCAAAAGAAAAATGAACCTGATAGTCCTGCTTCTAGGGCCAAAATGTACCATCAATTCAAATATTTGCACTCTTCAAAGATACACCATGAATAATGTTACAAAACATTTATTTGTAACGTTTAAATAAGTTACATCAACATTTCTGGAACATATAGTGCATATAACTGAAACGTTTCTAGATTTAAATATGCGCTTCTGACACAAAAAATTGTTTAGCGAGTAATATGGAACATAAAAAAATAGTATTTAAACTTCAACATATCTATTATAAAATAATTGTATGTACAAGTATAAGACTCCTAAGAATATTGAATAAATCATCCTTCCACTTCATTGCATCACAAATATTCTTCTACTCGTCATTTTTAATAAATTCCCGAGTCAACTTTTTACTTCTCATTCTAATTTCAAATAGCAGATAGGCTTTAATGCTGGGATCTGTAATTTTCTCATTAATCTCCTTTACTGACGTCTCTCCGCCATCTCTATAGTATTCAGTCAGCTTCTCAGCGTATTCCAACCAAACACAATTGGCACAACCCGACATGCAACACGTTGCAGGTTCCTCAGGTGCTTGTATAGAGGGTGGAGACATATTTTCATGATTTTCCAATGAATGTGAATCATCGGAATTTCCTTGCAGACTCAAACCATTTAAAGTGCTTTTTGCATCATTAGGGCTTGAAGCGGATGCACCCAAACTGTGTAACCATTTCGTTAGGCCAACTATACAAACTCTACTCATTGGCAGCCGCCCTGAAGTCCCTAAATGATAAAAACAGATTGATGCCATATTACAGGTATTACTCACAGTAATTCAGAGCAAAAATGTAGTTAATAGGAATGGACCCAGATGTAAATTGGAATTTTGCATATCGGATCTCTTATATAATTAAACACTGATTATAATGTCGTTTTTTTCATTTTACAAATGCAAATTGTATGGTTATGTGTATTGTCAGATTTAGCAAAAGCATTTGACTCATTTGACTACGTCCTGATATCCAATGTTGCCGTTCTAAGGAATATTTCCACCTTGAGATTTATTATTCATACACTTATATTTTATTATTGTTCTAAGTACTGAAGTTAATTCTTAAATTGTGTTTCCTTTATTGACAGCAGTAAAAAAGGTACATTGAGTATGATCTACAATAAGCAGGGCAAAATATCGGCTGAAAATGGAAATGTCGTCGGTTAAATAAACCTCAATGAATTAACTGCTTATCAACTATCGTCAGAGATTAGTAGATTTAATTATTAGAGAGTATTTTAATTATTATCTATTAGAGATTTGCAGATTAGTAAATTAGTAGTCCAGTAATCTCTGCTATCGTATTACAATAAACTACTGCGGTTTGATTGCACTTTTTTTATTTCATCGCTACTTGCAGTTTGGATAGTTAAAAGTTCACAAACTAAAAATTTGTGAATATTGAAACATGACCATGTAGTCATCAAGGTATATTAATATAATTATAGTGAAAGCAATAAATAGGAATTTTATATTATGCTCTCCCGATTATATATTGCACACGTAAACGGCAACATTGGATATCAGGCTTCATAATGTGCATTACACACAGCAATGCCAAGTCTATCGATTTTTCGGTAGATCTATCGATTCGTCAAGGAATCTACCGAACTACCGATAACATGCAGATTTCTAGCGAAAAGTAACAAAGAAAATTTCATATGAGTTCAAAGCACATTTCATATGAGAAACATATTGAGAAATCTATTTGACTGTTTTTAAAAAAGGAATTACTTAGCACTTACTACTTTCTATTCTAATTTCCCACATTGACTTTAAAATTCCTAATAATTTCTTACCGTTTCTGACATCTTTTAGGTGTTAATGTACGGAAAACAATTTTAAAATTCGTAATATCGGAAGAGCAACTGTACATCATTTTTTAAGTTAAGGTGCTTAGATTTTTATGTCAAATAATGCTCACAAATAATAAAGCGGTACCCACTAAAAATAATCCTATAGAAAAATGTTGTTTTATGGATCCGGCAATAGTGAAATCAGGTTCCCTACAATCTTTCTGATGTTGGGATGATGTTTCCAAATTTAATAAATAATAGTGAATTACAAGGTCTGGACGCGTCTGTTGCGAAATGTCGACGAAATTCAAAAATGTTCTGAAAATATTGAAAATTTTTGGAGCCAAGTATAAATATTGAAATATGGAGGTGATACATTCAAGTCTCCAATTTTAACGAATTTGAGAAATAAGTTAAAAGTTAGCACAATTTCATCTTTACTTCACACCAACAGATATATATATTGGTAGCGACAATTGTCATAGTTTTGAAATTGAAGATAAGCTTGTGTTATCTATGAATGATAAATTCTTATATAAGGATAATTTGGAAGACTGACGAGATATTTTTATTTAAAAGAAAGAAAAGTGATTAGTTTGTGAAATTAGTATTAATAATTTCATTAGCAATATGTATGACAAAGGTTTTATTTATTTTTTGAGGGTTTATTATTTCATTTTTGTTAACAATGTGAAAAGTGTCGAGCTTATCTACCAAAATGCGATTTTCGGGTCTGGCAACGCTGACGCTGTTTACACATGTCATTTGTCATCATCAAAATCTAAGGTTATGAACCGGGTGAAAACGATTTCTTATGTTATGCCGAATATTGCTAACAAACAAATTTAATTGAGCTTAATTGAGCGTACTGTTTTAATATTTGAAGTGTATGTGTTGTTCTCGTAATTTCTCATCTCTCATAAATTCGAAAAGTAAGAAGAAATGCAACACGAGGAAGCGGTCTCAGGAGGTGAAAACCAGACTTCTCAGCGTCTCTTTGAATATGTCGATAAAGCTTTTCCACCTTTGGGAACTTTAGGCCGTAGAAATGTGTCAAAGTCTAACAATGCGGATCAGAAAGGAGCTAAAAACAGGAACAATGACAATACATCAGGTAATGTGTTGTTTTTTTAAGACGTCTATAACAAGTTTTTTTGAGTTATTTTTGTAATGTTCACAAAATCCATTTATCATTTGAAAAATTTGAATCAGTGCCTTTGGAATTACAATTTCTGGAATGCAAATAGGCCACTAAATAATAACCTTTATAATAATATGCATGTACCACATGTTCACCACTACATAGGTAGCATGGATTTGTTGCTCATCAGCTTGCAGCGTTACTTGCAATTTAATTTTCGATTTTTTATAGCCCCACAAAGTAAAAGAAACCGACGTCGTAAACGAAAAAGCAAAAATAAGCCAGACGAACAGGTCCGTTCTTCATCACCCAGATCAATCAATTCAACATCCCCAGAGTCGGTTACTCATTCCAGTTTCAGTGAAAGTCAATCATCAACATCTTTTCAAGCCTTAAATGTTACCGAAGAAACGTCTCCAACAAATCTTTTAGGAGTGCAAGGGGCTTCTTGTTCCGTTTTAAGTGAAAATATATCTCCAGCACTTTCCCAATCTTTGGATGTTAGGCAAGAAATGCCGGACTTAAACCCTCTGTGTCTGCAAGATACTTCACCTAATACTAGTCCAAATGCTAATCAACCTTCAACATCTACTCAGTCTTCAGATTCGTTGGAGACAGTTCCAAAGTCTCGAGAAGCAGACCAAAAGGTTTGATGAAAATAATAATTGTGTACATAATAATACATTGTTTCTTTAGAATATTAGTTTTAAATAAAGTAACTAATTTTCAGGGTGAACCAGTTGTTGATGCAGGTTCTGTCACTTTTAGTATTCATGCTGTGAAAAACTCACAAACTGGACGATTTTTCAAAGTGAGAAACAAAACCCACAAATTCATCAATCTTAAGTCTTTCCTGGCTGACCAATCACAAACATGTGTATTTGAAACAAATTTAGGGTCATTGTCTGCATCGCTAGAAGCATTGAAATTAGGTAGGGATTTTGCCGATTGTTTCAATGTATTTCATTACTAATATTTTGATTTATATAGAGTCAGGCTACCAAAAAAAACGCAAGTATTATGACAGTGTTGATGTTACAAGTAATAGTGAAGATAATACAGATACAACAGAACAGAACACAAGGAATGAATCATTCACTGATGAAGTGCAAGTAAGGCGTTTAAATCATTGCTATGCATGTGGACAACATGTTCCTCTCAACGTTGCATTGCTTATGATGAATGCAAGGTCTTTTTGAATTTATGATTGATTTAAAGCAGTTCTCTTGGATTCCTTTAAATTCTCCAAAATATCAATGTGCATAACCGGTTTAGAATATCAAAATAATTCATTGGAATTAGTGTTTCAATTGATAAAGTGGTTTTTATTGAACAATTTCCTTCATTAAACTAACTACATTTTTTAAATTTCAATAGGATCTTTTATTTAGGCAAATTAATATCTGCTATATCACAAACTGTTTAACTTATTAGTTTCGGCCATGGAATTATTTGTATACACAGTGTTTCTTGATATTATAAAACTTGTAGTTTGCTTTATAAACTATCCTCAACGTTACGAAAGTATGAAGGTGTTGCAAAAAAGTTAATGCGGAAAAAGAATTTCATAATTTTTACGTGAACTTAACTTAAGACGTTACTTAACACGTTGTGGAATGACTGATTGGGGTCAAATATGCACAGTTTTGTTTTGTAACTTGTTGCCGTTTTAAAGGTAGTTTCATAGTGCATCTTTTGAGCGAGCTACTCGCGATAGCTAGCTGAAAATTTTTATAACAGATTTTAAAAAATCTTGTCTTGGTGCTAATTTTTTCATCACTAAGGAAGTATTGCAATCCATGAATAACATGGTAATCTCTTGGTGCCAGATTCAAAAGGAAAATATAATTGTGTCTTCATAAAATACCTGTAAAATAATCTTTAATTTATGTTTTTTTTTCTTGAAATTTAAAATGACCGTTTTTCTGTAACATTTTTGGACATTTAGTTTATAAAGCAAGCTACCATTACTTTTTCCATGCGGAATCACACTGAAATATTCGCATACCATTAAGGAACGATTTGTATAAATGGGAACTTTTATGTAGAAGTCTCCAACTCAAAAACAAGACATTCCATTTAAAAGCAAAGAAACGAGAAGAAGAGTCGGGAGGAAAGAGTATAAGAGACAGCAAATGTTGAAAAAGGCAGCCAAACTGAGAGATGAAACATTTCCTGAAACTTTAACTGCAGAATCTGCAGAAGAAGGTAATTAAGCGTACAAGTGGAGGTTTTAGTTTAGTACAAGTGTGGTTTGTTTTGCTTTACGATTTACTCTTTGATGGAGTTACGAGTAATAACTAAATGCCAATTCAACCTTGTACTGATTTTTTGGTGATTTTAGTGTTTGTTGCCATTTTATGATATGCTTGGTTTGCTTGAAAACATATATGTAATTCTTACCTTTTATGTGTAAATATGTTTATGTCACGTAAGGATGTTTATTCAAGGTAAAACTGTAGAACCTGAACAACAGAGGGCCAACACAGGTTCTTCAGGTTGGAACATCTTTCTATTGACTTTTTTGGGATATTGACTAGTTAAATGAGGCAGAAAATTGAGCTATATAAAAAAGTTACATCTTGTTTCTTTTTATTCTCCCAAGCCCTAAAAAAGTGAAGTCTAAAATTTAAAGATTCTGTCTACATAATTTGGTATGTGGAAATGTTATGAAGAGCCCAGAAAAATACTAACTAATAAAACCAAATATTATGGAAGGTCAGAACAGTTATAAAACCTTAATGCCTATACCTTGAACATTTTGATTCTACTAAAAATTGGCGTAGTTTTTGGTTGATTAAATTATTTACAAATGTGTTTTAACTTTAATAACACTTTATGACAATAAGAATTTTGGGCTCTAAACATATAGGGTGGCGCAATGAAATAGTCAAACACTCACTTATTACTTGAGACTGACAGATCAGTTCAGTCATATTGGAAATGCATACATGAAAAATACGAATTTGTGAAAACTTCGGAAGCTTTCATTAACTACACCACGAAATAGGAGTTTGGAATTTTTTGCTCTATAGTAGGCCTGGGTAACACTGTGTTGAGTTGCGCTATTGAGTTGTTGCCTCTCTCTTAGTTAACGAGTTATAACTCATCGGTTAATGAGTTATAAGTCATTTATTAAAGCTTTACGAGACCCGCGACTGAAATGTTCACATCTAAAAAAGGTTCATCAACATTTTTTCTGAGTAACGTTTTACTTCTTTGTTTAAACAACTAAAAAAAGCCATTTAGATTTTCCCAGCAACAGAACTGAGTCAAGAGAAAGTCGACAAGTTTTCTTGTAAAATCAATATTTTAATTTTTTTGGCATAAAATATTCAGTTGCCAGTATTTTACAGTAAAACGTTAGGAAAAATGCGGTTTTTCTGTTTAGAGACAGTGTTGTTTAGAAATATTGACCTAAAAGTGAAGAAACWCCAGTTTTCAAAAGTTTTCTAAATAAATCATTATAAACCTTTGCATTTTCAGTTCAGGGAAATATTTTTGGAGAAAGACCCAAAAATAATTATAAGGGTTTTTCCATAATTCGAAGCTGCAAAAAGTTACAAGAAATTTTGCAAAGCGGTTAAGAAGGCGAGTGTTTCAATAAAATTTATCTTTTAATTTTTTATATAAAATACCTGAAAATGGTCAGTATTTTAAGTAAAAATAATGCAATTTTTGCGTAGAAACAATTGCTTAATAGAAACTTTGTTCAAACTAGAATGACCTGAAAATTTACAGGAACTTTAAAAATCTTCAAAGCAATCAGCAATGAGGCGAACTTTCCAAATATTTTTTTTTTAACTTTTGCTCTCACGTTTTGTCGTTTTTACACGAAAATTCTAATTACTTTCGGTAAAAAACTGAATAAAATTATTTGGTTTTTGTGCCGAATTCGCTGAATGAGTTTTCTAAAGTTCCTTTGAAACCGATGAATGAGGCGAATTTTCTAGCAAAATTTTATTATTTTTGTTGAAAAGACCCCATTATTGTCAGAAAAGATGAAAATTATCAGAAAATAATATTTTTTTGCGTTTTCGATTTAATATTTTTAGTTTTGTGATCGGTTTTGGAGAAAATCTTAATTGTTTTCGGCGAAAAACGGGAGGAATTTATTTTTGTTTTTGTTCCGAATTGGACGCTGAAAAAAGTTTTGTAAAATTTTTACAGGGTTATAAATTTAGCTTGTAATATTTCGACTCCATTTGAAGCCTACAGAACGTCAGTATTTTTAAGTAAAACTATAAAAAAGCGTTTTTGAGTAGAAAGTAAAGCAAAAAAAATTCGGTCAAAACTAAAAAACTATATTTTTTTAACAAACCTTACAGCCTTCAGAGGTATGGAGGTGACGAGATTTCCAAATAATCTGTTATAAACTGTCGCTTCTTTGTGTTCGTTTTTTGATTAAATAGTATGTATTTGATTTTTGTTACCAATTCGAAACTGGAAAGGGATTTCAAAACTTTTTACAAAACGACAAAGGATTTGAAATACATTTCATAAACTTTCGCGGAAAATACGTTAATAATAACGGAACTGAGTTACTGCGCTGGTGCGTTGGGTTGGCGCACCAAGCCATTTGCGTAGCACTGCGCCAACTCCTAAAAATTCACTGCGTTACCCAGGCCTACTCTATAGTCATGCTCTCAGCGTGACAAAACGGAAAATTTGTTAATATTTGCCAGGTTCGGAATATCGAGGTTTTGATTATAAGCAATGTTTGTTTCGCATGCCATATTTGAATTCGGAAAATCTGATTTAGAATCTGAAACTTCTATATTCAAAATTAATTTCTATAATTTACTAAAATTTGTTTAAAAAAAGGGTGTGCACTGCTATTTGACCGTGACTTGCTTTTCTGATTTGATATTTTAAGACTTCGAAATTTGTTTGACGACTAACGCAGTTAAATCAATTATAACGGTTTAGCGTATGAATTACTCAATGCACTAGAAATTCAAGACAGAGATAAAAAAAGCTTGTTCGTTTTCTTTAGAAAATCACGGTTAACGTGTTTGGATATCTAAGTCAATCAGCAGAGTGTTTTATAACGGCCATTTGATGGGGCCACCCTATATAAAGTCCTAATAATCATATATTTGTAGATAATGAACTGAACAACTGTACTCTATTTAATATAACTAATAAAATAAAAACGCTTATTTCAGGCGAGAAATCAAGCGATTTAGTTCGTGGTTTTATTAGAATAAACCAGAAAAACCCACGAGATTCGTTTGTCAGTCATGCTGACTCTACTCAGGCTGATTATTATATCAGGTCAGTTGCGGACCGAAATAAGGCTTTGGATGGAGACGAGGTTTTACTCAAACTCAAAGAAGACACAGAACTGTGCGAGGGCAAAAGAGTAGCAGTGGTTGTATACATCTCAAAAAAGGTTCGTCTCTTTAACTTCCGGCCAAAAATGCTGTTATAAGTGAATGTGCACAAATTAATTGATAATAATTTAGGTTTTTTGCATTCAAAAAACTAATTCAATATATTTGAATTACATTAATTTAGATTCATCCTCGTATAACAGTAGGAAATTTGCAAATGACGACACTCTCAGATCATGCTTTGTTTATTCCAAGGGATAAACGTATGCCCAATATGTTAATTCCTGATACCACGTGGCCAATTGGTTTCAAAGATCACGTCAAAGATTATAAAGATGTTCTTTTTGTGGCTAAACTGGTAAGGTGGTTGAAACCTAACAGAGCAATAGGTAAGAGTGAAAAGCGGTAGTTTGATAAAATTCCATTAAATGTTTCAAGATTGCCTTCTCATTACTTTTTTCTTCTAGGTTTTATCACTGAAACCCTCGGACGGTCAGGCGATTTACAGGTGGAAACAATGGCTATACTTAAAGAGTTTGCACTGGACATCACGCCCTTTTCGCCTGAGATGATTCAACATTTACCCAAAACTAAGGTATTTCAACCTAGTTTAAATGCCTTTTAGACGAGAGTGAAAGCAAAACTATCGATTAATGATATCTGGTTAAAAGTATTTTTTCAATTCATTTGCAGGACATTGCAGCTGAAGAGCTGGAATACAGGGAAGATATAAGAAAGGAGTGTGTTTTTACCATTGACCCATTGACTGCTAGAGACTTGGACGACGCAGTTTCTGCTAAAAAGTTGCCAAATGGACATTACGAAATTGGAGTTCATATTTCAGATGCCAGCTACTATTTACATGAAGGTAGCAAATTTAAAAAAAAACTTTTCCTTAGCCGGAGTATAAATCTGCAGTTACTAGATAAATGCTCGGAATTTTCATTCTATCATTCAGAACGCAAAAGTATTATTATGACACAAAAAATGCAGAAGTATTCAAAAATTTCAGGTACACCATTGGATGAAATGGTAAGTTCAAAAGCGACCACAATATACCTGGTAGATTCGGTATATCATATGTTGCCTGTGGAACTTTGTCTACATTGTTCACTGCTGCCTGGAGATGATAAACTTGCTTTTTCGGTGTTTTGGGAAATGGACGAACAAGGTCAAATTTATAACACAAGGTAGATAAATGTAGTCTAATTGAATAACACGTATTTATGTATGAACTGGTGCTGATTGCCGTATCAATATTATATACAGTGCCCGCGTAAATAATGAGACCCCCTTTTTCTTTTTGAACCTTAATAGCTATTCTCACAAAATTTGGGACGCCTACATAAGATCAAATTGTCCATTTTTTGACATGAAAATGACTACTGAAAAAATGTCAAAGTGACAGTTTTATGCCATTTTCGTTTATTTTTTTGTATGGAATAGGTAGTCAAGTGACACCTTGTTTTGAAGGTCTGTTCATCCTCATGCCAACCTTCAATTTGTAGATCATTTATTACAGTGGTTTTGACCGATTGTCAACTAAATATCTGATAAGCTTATTGTTATTTCTAACGATGTACAAAATTGTTTTTGTATCTAAACCGACTCCACCCTAATTGTAATTATCACAGACAGCAAGGCCTACCCAGATAATTTTAAACTTTATAAAATGAGTGTCACGCATTTATCATCAGAAATCATCCATTTATCAACCCAGAAAGAGAGCTTAACTTTTAAGAATTATATTTATTAATTGTTCAAAAATGTATCCGTTAGAGGCCTGGAAATGGTAAAGTTGATGCGTGAATGCATCTCTAATTTTGCGAATGTGTCTCTCGGTATTCCAAAGCCAACGTTTCTTCTTTTTTCTCTAAGGTTTTCAATTGAATCAGGTTTTGTAATATAAACTTGGCTGTTGAGATACCTTCCAATAAAAAAAACTATTGGTGTAAGATCGGGCGACCGTGCCAGCCATTCGACGCATTAGGAAATACTGTATTTAGCCATTCCCTAACTGTTCTTGAATAATGAGTGCACCGTCCTGTTGGAAAACTATATCATTGAAATTCCTCCGGATTGTCCCTAACGATTCTTTGTATCCAGATAAATCTGGTTTTGGACCATCTAGAAAAAGTCCACCGGTAATATTCTGATCAATAAATATGAGGCCGACAACAAAGTATGTCAGCTCAAACATTTAATTTTTCTACCGGAATTGTGTATGGGTTTCTCAAAATACGCGTGAGTTCACATTAGACCAATACCGTATATTCTGCCTATTCACAGTTCGAAAAAAGTGGATTTGTCAGAAAGCAAATTCGTCTGACGTAATCTGGAAATTAAACAATTGTTTCGCACATGAGTTTACAAAACTGCACCTTCCCATCCGGACCATCTTCTGTTAGCTGATAAACCAGAGTGATTTTGTATGGAAGGAATTTGTTTTTCTTAAGATATTTTCGCACAGTTGTTGCTGGGACAGCAGCGTGTTCAGATAGCTGCTGCAAATTGGTGACACTAAAGCTCGATTTATGGTGCTGTTCGTCGTTCGTAGTTCGCAGTTGCCGCAGTTCGAGAAATAAACATACGGTCGCGCAAAATATGTTTATTTTATAGATAAACTATTTTTTTTAAACAATTTATTTAAAATAACTTTACAGACGTTCTATCATCGACAGAGTTTTGTGGAAAAAAGCGTTAACATAGTGAATTGTCTCAGTTTTATAGTTAATCAGGAATTTATGTACGGCGGAACCTAGTCAGCGGTTTCTGTGGGAACTGCTGTTACTAGGCAGGTTCTGTGTGAACTTGATGGTGTAACTCCTCCCTTCTTAAGCTGAGAAAATACCGGAGGGATGTTTCGAAGTATCGGAGGTGAGGTCATCTTCTTCTTTGGATTTTCTTCTGCATACCATCACTAATCGCTTTTTCTGCGTCCAAACGATAGTGATTACAATCATAAACATGAGGCTGGTTAGAAGTATGATGAGGGTTATTGACGTTTGTTCCATTGGTGTAAAATCTTCTTCCACCAGTGAAAGTTGATTTGCCATGTCCTTTAATTGATAAATTTCTTTTAAGTTTATTTTGCTAATATTGATGCTCTGGTATACTTTGGATTCGGAAAATAATGTTATATTCAAATCGGGTAGAATT